GTTGCTATGGCGTTACTACGCTGTTGCTTGGGTGTTCTGGGGTATTATGTGATTCTAGGTGGTCTCTAGGGTGTTGCTAGACTGTTGGAAATGTGTTCTTGATAGTTGCTATGGCGTTACTACGCTGTTGGTAGGGTGTTCTGGGGTTTTATGCAATCTTAGGCAGTCTCTAGGGTGTTGCTAGAATGTTGTTAATGTACAGTATTCCTGATGTTTTAGGTGGTCACTAGGTCATTGTGAGAGCGTTTCTAGGCTGTTTGTTGCTAGGGCATTGTTAGATGTATTCTAGGGTGTTTTTAGTTGTTGTAATGCAGTTGAGAGAGTGTCCCTTCTGGTTGCTAGGATGTTGCCCACTCTCTCTGTTTCTATGGCACAAATGCTCTGTTTCTATGGCACAAGAAGTCTATTATTCCCAGGAGAAAGTATTTTAGCATTGAAAATATTACACATGGTGTTAAAACTGTCAGAAGTAAACTCACTCTATACTTCCTCTAAAATACAAATTTCTTGTTTTAAGCACAATGACAAGGAAAGACGGAACCTTGTCATTCATTCAAGTTGCATGCTGGTTACATAAAACAGACGGTGTAGTATTCAACCTCACACACAACAGCAATAGACACATGGGCATATCACACATGCTCGTTGTGTGTACGAGGGCTGTTCTCTCCCTTCTGTTAATTTGGTCCTTGTCCCGTTCCACTGGTAACGCTCGCACAACAGGGAGAAACGCCTACAGACCCATTCATACAGCCAGAGAAAGCGAGAGAAAGAGCGAAACAGAGAGCGAGAGAAAGGTGGAAACCGCACTGCAAAAGTGCCTCGTGTAGCACAAACACCTCCAAACACTGTGTATGTGGAGCATTTACAGGTCCAAAACATCCACTAAAGAGAAACGTCCACAGAAAACAGCTAAATGAGCTTCCAGTTTACAGACAGCTCGCCGTGTGACACACTCAATGAATGAAAACACAGATTTAACCTCTGGATCAGCTTCGGAAAGAGATATTTTTCACATCAATCCACTTCAAAGAAATCAGATTAATTGAGAGTCCTTATGTAAATGGACTAGCAGAAATTGAAAATAAATTATGAATGATTAATGGAAGATATAATGGAAGGTCAAAGTTATGAACTGATTAAGCAAGCTTTATATAATATACTATTTAAATAAATATATACTATATATATATAATATACAGTATAACATACGTTTATACATTTTTATTATTATTAATAAACTTTTATTATTTGTATAATATAGTAACTTATTTTTTATATAATATATAATTTTAATATCTACATTTATTTTTATTTTCAAAAATATGTATATTTTATCAAATATAATATAGAAACTAATTTAATAATAATAATAACAATAATAATATATTTAATAAATGTATATACATATAAATTAATAAAATTGTATTGTTTTAATTCATATATTTATATAACATACAATTAATTTTAATATATGCACATTTATTATTTTAATATATTTATATATTTTATCTAATATAATATAATAATTTAATACTAATACTACTAATTATTATTATTATTTTAATTTTATTAGTTTTTTTTATATATATATATATATATATATATATATATATTACATTTCACTATACAAGATTGTATGTGTAGGATCCAAAAAAATAAAAATAAAATAAAAAAGAAAGACAAGAACTGCACTCCTCAAAAGCACTTAAAGGGATAGTTCACCCAAAAATGAAAATTCTGTCATTAATTACTCACCCTCATGTCGATCCAAACCCATAAGTTCATCTTCGGAACACAAATTAAGACATTTCTGATGAAATCCGAGAGCTTTCTGACCCTGTATAGACAGCAACACAACTACCACATTCAAGGCCCAGAAAAGTAGTAAGGACATCGTTAAAATAGTCCATGTGACATCAGTGGTTCAACCGTAATATTATGAAACTACGAGAATACTTTTTGTGCACAAAGAAAACAAAAATAACGACTTTATTCAACAATTTCTTCTCTTCCGTGTCAGACGGTCTTACAGGTTTGGAACGATATGAAGGTGAGTAACTAATGACAGAATTTTCATTTTTGGGTGAACTCTCTCTTTAACATGATTTCGTGGTAATATTTTAGGCGTGATGCTTTTTTCATCATTTGTCATGGCAAAGGAGATGCAGCTGTGGTTTACAGAGAGGAAGACATCCATTAGAAACATATCAACATCTAAGCTGGCCTCCCTAAGATGGGACAAGACCCTTGGCTGTCGGTTGTCTTCATAGGAATAGTTCACCCAAAAATTACAGTTCTGTAATCATTTATTTTCATGTTGTTTCAAACACAATTTCATGGTACCTGTTGTCCTGTTTAGAGCAACTATAACTTGTCTTTTTAAAATACCATGTAATAATTCAGGCTGACTGAAAATGAACTGAAAATCTTTCAAAACACTATATTTTTGTTGAACTGTTCCTTTAAGCATACAGGTGTAGGTTCATCAGCTCCCACAAGAACTTTACACACACCTACATAGTAGAGAAAAACAAATATAAGCTACCCAGAATCCCAGCAAGCCTCTCACATTGTGAATCCTAATAAAATACCTTTCAAACGGGTTCAACACACAGATTATTGTACATCATGAGACTCAACATGTCAGCATGTGGTTGGAATAGAGTTACGAGTGTTTTCATGGCATGGAACGTCTGAGGATGATCAAACCAGCGGTGAAGTGGGTCGGTGGGGAGCATTTGAACACACTCACAGATAATAAATATCAATAAAATGCAGGAACACACACACACACATTTCTCACCACAGGGATTCGATCTGATCCAACGTACACATACACTCGAAGATAACATTCCCTCTACACTCCAGGAGGTTTGAAACAGCACCTCCAGGTATTTTCAGACAAACACATACTCACAAACACATACACGTGCGCAAACATATGCATATGACTGACATTACAATCCCTCTTCGCACCACTAGTGCTGCAACTGCACCTTTAGCCGTTTCTTAACAAGCACACGCACGCGTTAAAATGCACACACAAAGCCGGGAGTGTTTTGGGCTTCGTGCCGCTCATTAGACAGCGCGGGCTGCAGGTACATGGCACGTTCCCATTAAATCTGCCACAATACCTCACTGAGCACATAAGACAGTGTAAATCAGGGCTGCACGATTATGACAAAAATCTTAATTGTCGATTATTCCCTTGAAATTGTAATTGCGATTATCACAATTTACATTGAATGATGTTTATACCATTGTTTGATGCAACTGCATGCCGTATTTTTATATGAAAATAAACAAGCTGAAAACACTCTAACTGAAAAACCTTTAGTGCTTTTCTATAGTATTAAGCCTCAAATATCAAATATACATCGGATTGGTTTCTTCTTTAAATTATAAAAAAAGTAAAAATATGAATGGTATTATAATGTTATACTAAAACTAAAACAATGGAAAAACCCTTAAGATGACATGTAGAAAGAAAAAAATGTATTCACTTTAAGGTCATCTACACTACCATTCAAATGTTTGTGGTCAAGTAATTACTTTTATTCAGCAAGGATTCATCAAATTGATCAATATGTACAATTTAAAGTAATTTATCAAAAAATCCTGAAAAATGAAGCACCGTTTCCACAAAAACATTAAGCGACACAACTGTTTTCAACATTAATAATAAGAAATGTTTCTTGAGCAGCAAATCAGCAAATTAGAATGATTTCTGAAGGATCATGTGACACTGAAGACTGGAGTAACGATGCTGAATAAATTAAAATTTTCAATATAGTCAAATAGAAAACAGTTATTTTACATTATAATAATATTTCACATTTTTATTGTTTTTACTGTATTTCTTATCAAATAAATGCAGCCTTGGGGAACATAAGAGGCTTCTTTCAATCCTTACCGACCCCAAACATTTGAAGAGTAGTGATGCTGATCACCTCCAAAATGTTCATGAAAACTTTCTGCAGACCCGCATGTTAAATTTCCACCAGATAAAAACATCTTAAAAATCTTGATGACTCATCCTGCACTACAAAGATTTTCGACCAATCAAATGTTCTCTAAAACAAAATGTCCCTCCCCAAAACCACCTGCAACCAATTAGAAAATAAACCTATTTAAAAAAAAATAAATAATAATCAATAAATAAATGGATGATTCATCCTGATCAACAAAATTTAATTATTTCATCTTACGATTTTGCAAGAATTAAGGAATAATGTTAGAATAGGAAATACATGAACATAGAACTGAACACTACTTTCATGAGGTTTATAATTCTCCACCAATCTTTTACTGTGAATGTCTAAATCTGATTTTTTTTAAAATCTGTTTTAAAATAGTTTAAAAAGCCACCTGCGTCAGTTACTGAGGATTCAGAAGGTCTCGGCTATGAAACACTATGTTCAGGCGAGATCAGGGGGATTTGGCCCCGCCCACAGTAAAATCTCATTGGTCAGTTCTCCTGCTGTGAGAGTGTTATTTTTTCTGTTTACAAATTACTGCATTGATTCAAATTAGAGGGCATTAGAGCGAGCAGATTAAACTACTCGATTGATTTCATTCATAATACATGCCGTTAAAGCTCAGCTTGCTAAAAACATTGTTTTGTGAGTCTTAATACACACACTTAATATGGTGGTTTCTTTTCCATCACTCTTTTAAGCTGTAAAATGTTCTGACTATCCAAGACAGACTACGTCTCTCTCAATTAGTTTGACCCTCCATACTGACAAGCCGGGCTCCGAGTGCATCCCCTTGAACTGGCACGGCTCCCGGTTCACGCGTCTAAATTCAGCGACTGGCATCCTCTCCAGATGGCGGAGGAGAGTGTGAAGAGGATTTTGTTGAGGGGAAGCAGGACAAGCCCCCTCTTTGCATCCGGCCAGCTCAATCCAACCTTTCCCTGTAAACGGGTAGGAGATCTGCACGCCGGCTGCCCGAGCAGGATGTGGCGTGCGGGGCGAGTGACGTCACGGCTCTACAGATCGCTCGGGTCACATTCATGAGGCTTTGGCTCCTAGCGTGTGAAAGCTGAATGAAAAGGCAAGAGAGAACGACATTTGGGATGAATATGACTCGAATAAATGTGTGCGGGTTGTACTGAAGCTGCGCAATCTGCCGTTGACGCCGCTAGCAGGCTACAAGCAGCGAAGCGGCAAGAAAACACTTTAGCTTCTTCCATGAGGGACATTTCAGCAATTAGAGACTTTAAATGACCCGTAATTTTTGCTCACTTGCTACTTGTGAAAATGATATTTTAATGCTTCATTTTTTTCCCCATTTGATTGTTCTGTTATTTATTCTGATCATTTAAGCAAGTTTTGATGAGAAGATTTTGGCTTAGGAAAAGCTTGACATGTTGCTAACAGCCAACTTGAAAAACAGCCCCAATGCCAATATTCTCAGTTTTACCAAGACGTGCTCGCCAAGGCTGCATTTATTTGATCAAAAATACAGTAAAAACAGTAATATTGTGAAATATTTTTACAATTTTAAATAACTGCTTTCTATTTGAATATATTTAAAAAATTTAATTTATTCCTGTGATGCAAAGCTGAATTTTCATCATCATTACTCCAGTCTTCAGTGAAATGTTTCTTATTATCAATTTTGAAAGCAGTGCTGCTTTGATGAATGGAAAGTTCAAAAGAACAATTTATTTGAAATAGAAATTCATAACATTATAAAAGTCTTTACTGACACTTTTGATCAATTCAGTGCATCCTTGCTCAACAGAAGTATTAATTTCTTTAAAAAATCAAAGATGTTTAGGAGTGCACTCACACAACTAAAGGCAATTTTTTTCTAGTAAAACTTAGATGTAGGCTACATACACGTGTCCCACAACATGTCATTTTCACTCTATTCTGCGGAGAAAATCAGAGGTGCTGAAATGTCGAATGTAACTAGCGTGGAAAGAGTTGCGTCAGCTCCAAGGTCTGGCGGACCTTCAAGAGATGCTCCAGCCAACCCATGCTACACGGCTCAGCCCTGCCAAGAGCTCGGAGAAACCACAGGCAACGGCTTACTTCTGCCAAAGTTAGTCAAACAGGCTGCAGTGAACTCCTGGTTTCAACAACTCGCTTTTAAAATCAACACTGAATCAAAATGGAAAATGTTAGCCAATAGCCAAATACATATTTAGGCATTATTTCAGCAAACTCACATTCATTTCTCGCTCGATTCTGGTATGCAATGCCAACTTTTCAATTTCATCCAATCAATTAAATAAATGTTGGGCAAAATAACACAGTCCAACATTTATTCTTGATGAATATTCTGTTTCACTCAGAACTAGCACACGTTATGCATGTAAAATGGGTTGAAAAGGGTGTATCATGCTAACATTAATGCTATAAGCTAGAGTTAAATAGGACGACATGGACTTACGGTGGACTGTGCATTCGGATTTAAAAAATGCATGCAAACCGCCGGCTTCAAAGCAATTAATGCCATTAAATTTAAATATATAATTAAATTTAATTAATTAATTCTATTTATATAGCACCGGATTGTAATCAAAAAATAATTCTAGCAGGCTCAAAAGTTAAAGGAATATTCTAGGTTCAAGTTAAGCTCTATCAAAAGGATTTGTGGAAAAATATCATTTGTATTTTATTGAAAATAAAATAAAATGAGAGATATACACTGTGGTGGTACAATGGTAAACAAATTAAGTTAAATAAAATAAAAAGATGACAACTAAATTAAAAAAAATTGCTTTAACAGAACATGTGACGTGAAGTTACTCATCCTCCAAATAACACTGATAAAATAAAATAAAATAAAATAAAAGAGGGAGATGTATTGTGATGGTACCGTGGTACTTAAATGGTATCACATGGCAATACCATGATACACGATACACATTTAAAAAACAAAACATGGTATTACCATCATACAAAAAACATGGTATTACCATGAAAACTATGTCCAAAGGCCAAAGTAATACCTTTTTGTTAATGTAAAAGATTCAGAACATGAACTACTGAGGAAAACATACCTGAGGCAGGGAAAACAAAAGACCAAGACAAGAACACACAGACACGCACACACAGAGCCCTAAGGCAGAGCCATAAAGTAACAGACAGTTCGATATATTCTCTTCGGCGTCTATGGTAATATATGCTAACGTGACTTGCATGATTGGCTGCTGTGGTAACATATGCAGGTCTGAAGTGATTTACACCCTTTAGTCATACATAACACCTTACAACCGCAGTGAAGACAGTACGAGCCACTTTACAAAGACACAAAAAATGGATTCTGCCTGGGTAGAGTAGATAACTCCATTTATCCATGCATAAACCAGCTACAAACTAACAAGCTGAAATGGCTCAATCTGCAGACAGATGCAAACAGGATGAAAAGGATGAAAGTCGGAAACTAGAGCCGTTAGAGCCGAAATGGCTAACTACGTGAAATGATGTGCACACAGTCAGAACTGAAAAGGAAAACTGGATTAAAGACGGCACCTACGACAGATGACTTTAGGCTGAAATTACACTTTTAACCATTACAATGCTTTGATGGGTAAAAAAAAAAAAAAAAAAAAGAGCCATTTCTACTACCTGAACTGAACAGAAAATAGGACCTGAACATATCAGAAAGTATTTGAAGGGAAGATGAAAGGCTGTTTCAGAAAGGTTTACATCTTACGGTGAAACCAACAGTCTAGCTCTGAGTGACACAGCAGAATCTGGGTTCTAGAAGATTCAGCGTGGCATTATAAACGCTATGAAATATTCATACCTGTAATATCAATCATATTAACTGACAGCACTCTGGAAAGAAGAGCTGGCCAACAAATCATTCGTAATGGAATTTTTAAACCTTAACCTAAGATTGATGATCTATTAATCCTTTTCTAATATATATATATATATATATATATATATATATATATATATGTGTGTGTGTGTGTGTGTGTGTGTGTGTGTATGGTGGTATGAAACCAGTGTGCTACTTTGCGCAAACACTTGTAAACAGCTATAAGCATCTGTATCTTTCAACTTATAACTTAAAAGCAGCATGTGTTCACCAAACATCAATGTCACACTTCTTTTATTTCATGTTCACAATGAGAATCTCATCACAACAGCCTCATAAATTTGTGCGCGTGTGATTCTTACAGAAAGCGATCAAATCGGAGCAGGTGTTGAACACACGTGAGCCTGATCTGGAGCAGATTGCGTCACGCTCACCCGTGAGAATTCACAAACACACCAAACTCACAGCTGTAAAGCCTGCAGGTGACACTCGGGGCGAGAGACCTCACACACCCATATAGGTGGAAAATCACAGCATCTGAACCTCAGGTGTGGTAATCCCACTTCATTGTGTGCATAAAATGCATAATTGCATGTGAGAGAATGCTATTTATAGTCACTATGCGTGTATTTCTTAGTCCTAATGTCTGTAAACAGCCATGACTGTGTTTGTGTACATGTATGTGTGTGTGTGTACGTGACAGAGACACCCAGCGGGTAATTGATGCACCAGCTCAAAGTGGCAGGTTCGACAACACCCCCTGTGCCTCCCTCCTCCTTCCAGAAGCGTGTACACACACGCACACACACGCGTGCACTAACAAGCCAACATAATTACATGCCTGACTCCTAAAGATAGGGGAGAGAGGGATGCGACTGATTGCTGTGAAAGAGGGAGGGGAGAACGAGAAATGGAGAAATGAAAGCATCTGGCCAGCGAAGCTCAAGCAATCAAGATACACCAATCAGTTCAAGATCACAAAGACACGACCCCTTCAGCCTTCAAATCTCACTTATTGAATACTCATTCACTATTATATATGACATTGATGCATTCACACAGCTTAGTGTATCATTATATATTATGCATACTATGTATGGATTCTCACGAAACCCATCAGGATCTTGTCCAGGTCATATTACTGGCCAAAATCAGAAGAAATAAATTAGAAATTATATTTTGTATTAGGAAAAAATAAATTCTCTTTTTTTGTTCATTTTGTGACAATTTTTATGACAATAAAAAACAAATTTGCTCTGAAACTCTCCTTAATATAATGCATTAAAATCAGGATCTTGTCCATGTCATATTACTCCCCAAAATCTGAAAAAATAAATTAGAAATTATATTTTGTATTAGGAATTTTTTTTTTATTTATTTTGTAATTAATTTGTTTTGTTCATTTAGTGACATAACTTTTATGACAATTAAGAAAATATTTCTTGCCCCAATATTCTCCTTACTATAATGCATTAAAATCAGGATCTTGTCCAGGTCATATTACTTCCCAAATGTATTAAGGAAAAATTATTTTTTGCATTTTGTGACATTATGTTTTATGACAATTAAGAACATTTGCCCCTAAACTCTCCTTATTGTAATGAATTAAAATCTCATTATTACAACATTAAACATTAAGAAAAATAAATAAATAAATACATTTAATTATGGAAGTATTTGTTTTACTGCTTTTAATTCATGAGATTTTAATGAAAAATGCATGGAATTGTATTGTAATACTGTTTAAAAAATCCTTTATTAAAGTAATGAGAATGACCTTGTCATGGTTTGATTCCCAGGGAATGTGTGAACTGATTAAATATATGACTTGAGTTGCTTCTGATAAAAGTGTCTGCCAAATGCATAAAAGTGAATGTAATACAGCTTATTTTTCTTTTGATAGTGGGGTAAAATGTGACCTGGGCATGTTTTAATGAAATGTGTTAATTATGAAAACATGTCCATGTATTTGCAAATGAATGCTGCCCAATACATACACCTGAGGCACTCCGCAGCACACATCAAACAATTTTCCATACGGAGAACCACTAACATAAATAATCCACTTCATAAATTAAATATGATTCATCTGCTGGCTCTGTTTCATGTTTAAATGTTTAAACTGCGCTGCGACTTAAGATGAGCTTTGACTCTATTTTCTATGCAATAAGTAAAGCCAATATGAACATATATAAAATAAGTCCCATACACTTAAACTATTCTTCAGTTATACTTCAAACAAGAGTTTCACCATATACAAT